TTAGGTAATTGTTATAAGGATTCGCTTATGTTTTATCCATAGAGATGTGCTTTCAAATCACGATACACACTAAACCTCATTATACTGCATATAATTTATAATTCTAAGTTGATATAATAAGTAATTCTTAAACTTTTCAACAAGAGTACTTCAGGCACAATCCAATTTTCCTATTTTCTTCAAGAAGGGCGTGAAATTTGATGTAAGGAGTAATTGCGAAATGATTTTGCAGGTGGCCATCGAATGAAGCCATTATTTTCTAAGAACTGGTTCCTAAAACAAACTTCTTACTAAAACCGTCACTCCTTAAGTTATGAGAAGTTATAAGAACTCCTTTTTTATTGTTCATTATTTTACCAAGTGACAGAGTGCACTAAAACTGTCATGGAATGAAACCTAGGATATATCAATATGCCTCGCAAGCTTGGCTAACAGTTAGACTTGCCAAATTGCAAAGAGTGTTGTTTCGTAGAAAATATTGAATTTATCAAAAGGGTTGTTACATTAGAGAAGGCAACTCCATGAGTCGTGATGTCTCTCTTTCCATATCTCAAGGAATAAAAAAGTGCACAAATAAGGGGAACACATTTCATATGTGGTCATGAGTAAATTACAGCAGCAATGTACGCAACGTTATGTTTTTGCTTATGATTGCTTGCTTGTTCATTGGAATATAATGCGGTAAACTTACAAGTGCTTTTATTCGTCATCACTCCAGATACCGTTCCCATGAATTCGTAATCGGTTTACTAACACCAGTTGACATTCCTTTTGATTCGAGAGATTGCAAAGCGTAGCTTCTTGATATTGCAGGCGCTTCAGGAAAAGTCTTTCAAGCTTTTTGAACGATGAGAAAGTGGAAAGTGGTTGAAACGCTTTTTGATTGAAATGGGATGGCACAGCTTCAAAATTGCCCCAAATCATCCAAAATTGCTTTAAAAATTAGGCAGTTTTAGTAAAACATTTATCAAAGTTGTCGTGACTTTGTATGGTTTCAGGACAATGCTTTTTCTTTACCTGTCTTCTATTAGCAATCACTGTACAGGTGTTGGTGAAAAAATGGCTTCATTGAGTCTCGCATTGGGAATAACTTTAGAACTGTTAATTTATTTTACTCAATTGAATCTATAGTTAAGAAATATAAAACGATGCGCGTGTCTCTGTCCTCTGATATAAACACGTTGAGAGTTCGAAAAACACGAGAAAAGTAAGCTTAGGAACAGGAGCGTAGCGAGTGTTTCTCTTGCTTCTCGAGTGTTTTTCAACTCCCACCGTGTTTATATCAGAGGACAGAGACACAAGCGGCCGTTTTATATTTCTTTTATAAATTTTTCGAGCGAAAAGCAAATTTTGCCGGTAAGCCGTGTCTCTGTCCTCTTTATAAACGGATCCATATAAACACGGTCGTCAGCTAATCAAAGCGCGCGTTATGTATCGAAAATTTTCATATAACTATAGGTAAAAGGTAGATAGACGAGTGAAGGTATCCTTTAGCAGCATGGCCTTGGCTACATTTGTATACATTTTTTTTTTATAGGTAAAAGTTATGGATGAGGTTTGGCTGTATGTCAGGGGGTCACAGTTGTGCTACCCATTAGCCATTATAGTCTGCGAGAGCACTTGTTTGGCGCACTCTTTAGTGTGCATGCATGATCTTCTAGTATTCTGTGACAACCACGCTTTGATTAAGAGTAACCTTTTTTTAAGAATCATGATTGTACTTATGTAATGTGTTGTACTAAACAACATGGGATTGTTGGAAAGCTGACCCATGAGCAAATTCTTAAGCGGATGTCATATTTTGACCTGCTTTGATTTCTAGTAATACTAATAATATCTAAGATGTTGCCGTTACTTGTTATTGTATGAGGTATATCCGTAGAAATATTCTAGTATGATTCCTATAGTTTGACATAACCTTGATAGCTTCTACTTGTCAAAGAACGAATGATGAAAGAGTTGTAGCGAAGTTAAAACGGCAGCAAAGGATAGAGATGGATCATAAAGGTGGAAGGTGAAGGCCTTAAGCTCCTACTGGAGCGTTGAGTCAAGGTGATGACTTGCCAACGAAAAGATATCCTTCAGCAGTATGTTAGTAGGAGAGTAATAATATAGCAAATGCGGCCAGATACTGCTATTAGATGGTAAATCCACTTTATATGAAGTCGAGCTTTCGTCGTTCTAAAGCATCATCAGGACTCAATGATCAGTGTCATCATCAGAGCCTRTCCTGCGATGATGCTGTAGAACAACGAAAGCTCGACTTCATATAAAGTGGATTTACCATCTAATAGCAGTATCTGGCCGCATTTGCTATATTATTACTCTCCTAATTGCGGTTATATGTTCTTAATTGTATGCAGTTATATATAAATATATAATGGATTATAGACGTAACCTTAATATGACTAAGCATTATACATAGGTTTACTGTTAACACTTTCTGTGTCCTTGAATCTGCTCAAGTGGTTAAGCCACCCTCTCATAAACCATCCTTAAGTAGTCACGATAGCCTTTTGAAGCCTTGGAAAGACAACGTGGTTGGCTGAGTGGATATACAAAGCAAGCTAGGCTGTGCATGCTTTGCCATATGCACCGGCATCACGTAAAAATCCATGTAATTCCATTGAATCCAATGTGTTTGATACATCTGCCTCGCAGCAACCCAATATCAATCTGCTCATTTTTCTCATTGCTAAATAACGCTAATTGATTGATTGTCACTTAATAATGTAATTGCTTGATGGTTCTTGATTAGTCGAAAGCGCAGATTTTTCCTTGTTGAGATTCAATTTGTGTATTCAAATCCCTAGAGGAATGCCCAAGTTTTGAATTATGTTGTTAAAGAATTCAAACTATTTAAAAGTTTGGATAACAAATTTATGAGGTTAGTTTTAATGGATGTGTTGGATCGAAATATTTAAGGTGATTTGAAGAGATAAAGTTAGAGACAGGAGCAGACCAACCAAGAGGAATTAGTCATCCAATTAGCGTGATAATCATTGTCATAATTGGCCAGGGTAATTGAAAAGTTGATAGGGTTTCTTAACAAGAACTCCATTATTAAAATATAAAATTTAAGAATGTGATTACCCTGTAATAAACAACTTGCTGGAGGCTAATTTTGTACGTACTTTTTAGAGAATTTGGACATAATTAATGATATCAGTGACTGTACATTTAACGCTAGAATCCTTCTACACTTTCATCATCTACTGTTTGTCTGTAGGAGTTTTATAAATTGATCATCATGTATTCTGACGAAAATGGTCTCTACTGATTATAATGGAAACCTCTATATTACTTCTATCTCTATATTATGAACTCTATTTAGCATTTCAAATACAACTCGGTTGTACTTAGGGTAAAAAGTGCAATCCATCACCTAAATCCTTCTCCAGTGGATAAAATCCATAGAAAATCTATAGAATGACAACCAGCCCTTCTATATTATGGACACCTCTATATTACGGACATCTCTATTATGTATGTCTAACACTTGAGATCCTGTGGTAGTTCACAATCTGTAAGACAGAGCTTCCACTATATTCATTTCTTATTTCAGAAGGATTTAACAAGGTTTCAAAGGTTCGTGTCAGCGTCGTTAACCTGAGTTAAGGATCCCGTTCCACTTCGTAATCTTTTAAGTTTTAGAATCAAAATCGCAAACCACTTGCAAGCTCTTCAAACGACGCCTCGTGTCTGTTAGATAAATCAACCCTTTTCAATGTCAAAAAACACCGTTGAGCCTCCACTCCATCGTGACATTGGCTTTTCTGAAATCTCTTGTGAATATTCAATGGCTTGTTGTTGTGGTTGACAAGTAAAACTAATTGCCAATTAAGACGGAGCCTCCTTCTTTTAAGTGGTTTTAGGAATGATTCGAGAAGAATGCGAAGTCTTTAATAACACTCAAGGTCTTTTCATCGTCGCCTTCAGGATTAAGTTAACCATATTGTCAAGTATGAATAGGCGTTAAACAACTCGAGGTTATAATACCAATAGCCTATCATTACCGTCTTCACATTTCAAAAGAATAAAAGTAATGTGCATGACATTGTATAATGTACTGAAGGAACTCTAGAAGGATGGCTCGGTTGATTTTTGGTAGACGATATGCATGGCTTCACTCTCTTCATAATGTTTTTTTTTTCTGATCGTTGAGTGTTGTGATTCTGTATTTTTCGTTACTGACTTATAATGAATAAAAATGAATGTATGGCATTTGTCGAGAAATACAATTTATCTTCATAGATAATTATATGATAAATACCTATATTTCTCCATAACGTAAAGTCGTTCTTTTCACTAGTGAAAACTATAACATGTTATAACACATTCGAGTTCTCTATATATTGGAAGTAAAAAAAAGTACTTTACGACATAATTTGTTTTCATGTATAATTATATGATAAACAGAATATTGCATGGTCGCTTGAAGATACGAATTTAATCTTCTCGTGTTGAAAATCTCTCACTTCTTAAATCCATCAACTTCAGTTTACTTCAATACCGTCCGTACGAATCTTCAAATGAGTCAATAATCATCGGAGTAACTGAATCTTGATCGTGCATGTAGATACAAGACCAAAACAAATGCCCAAATTAGGGGCTTGGTGGTGGCTAATCTAATCTCAAAACTAGACTTGTTTTCACGTGATGAATGCCGAGCTTACGAAGCACTAAGATGCATGGCACTTCACACTTAAAGTATTTGAGTTTATATTTTCAAAAGTTTATATTTTTATATATGTTTTTATAATAATTTCTTGGATTTAAAAATATAGAAACACAAAGAGCTTGAAATATCATCTATTTCATTATTTCCCTCTATACATTTGTTTGAAGTTTTCCCAGAATCTGCTCCCCCCGGACCCCGTGTCTCCTTTCCTACGCTAATGATCCCCTCCAAGTCGATCCGTCACTAAGCTCCACCCCCCCCCCCCCCCCCCCCCCCTCCCAATCTGCTCACTCACGAAACTAAAAACAGTGCAACAGTGTCAAACAATGAATAATATTTTATTTTCAGATTGCTTTCATATTCTACAATAATGTTAATATTTGGGATTATTGGATTCAAATCCTTAAATGCTACTCAATATGACCTAGCTATCATACAAAAATGCATTGAGATTGAAAAACTGACTGTAGCGTTAAATAAAAGACTTAAAATAAAGCTGTATTTAAATAACTATAAATGTAAATTTACGACTGAGGCAAACTCGTTTAGATGTATTCCAAGTCGGACTTTTGACTTCCGTCAATGTTCATTATAAGAGAAATCTAAAATGAAGTCTCCATTCTATGTACGATTTCTTGGCATCCCAAGTACACAAATATTTCAAGTGCGCACTGAAGTCTAATTTGAAAACTGATAACTTGAATAGAACGTACGCTTTGATTGGCTAAAACGCGTAGTTTATAACGTGTACTCTGATTGGCCTCTTTCAACCTAACAAAGAATACATAAAGTTTTCTCTATTGACAAACGTCTAGGATTAAAACGAGATGCTTCAGTGTAAAATAATAAACTAACAAACTAATGCTAGAATACCCCATAAATATTACACATCTACTCAAAACTGAGCATAAATGGATCTATGAAATTTCATATTAGCGAATTAGAAGGCTCAAGATTTAATACAGCCAATGAAATCTAAGTATTTTGAATCTATAATGAGCTTGAAAATGAGCGGGAAAACACGAGCGCGTTTGCACAACTAGTCGATGCCATTCTTTAATTCCTGCAAAAAGCATTACTATTTTGCTTATTTTCTTATTTTCCTCTTTTTGCTTTAAATGTGTAATATTTATAGGATAATATTAGGTATTTGATGCTTTTTTTAGGAAAACTGGTTTAAGCTATTTTGTATACAGCACACCAAAGCCCCTCAGTCGTGAAATGCTCCCTCGTATTTCATAACAAAACCATCAAATAACTAGTGAAAATTTAATCTATCTAAAAGATTTGATTTGGAATTATATTTCAAAGAAATTAAATAAATATATGAAATAATTTGACTACGTACAAGAGTTCTTTTTTCTCATTTCTTCAGACCTTTTTATAAAGTTCACATCTAAAGGATATATTTATAATATTGCTTCTCTGGTTATCGTTGGTCACTGTTTGTGGCTCTTAAACAGGCATTAATTTGGTATTTGGTCGTTTAGAGCTACCCATAATTCAGTAGGAGCGCATTTGAAAACAAGGTTTTGAGAAACAGTAGATTCTAAATATGGTTAAAAGCATTACATTCTATCGTAGTGTATGGTTTACATGTTACGCCTTTCAATTTCGTAAAAGTTATTTGGTTTTACTTCCTCTTTTAGGTGATGAATTTAAGGCCTATTTTGTCCTTGTTTTCTCAAGAGAATCTATAAGAACAGTATAAAATGCATTTTGGGACGGTCCTATATTCTTAATTCTCTTGAGGAAACTAGAACAAAAACGCAATTTTAGRCGATTTGGACGATCCAGAACGATCGATTATATGAACACTAGGTCTTAGTAGAATTTGATAGYTGGTTTGCCATCCTCGGAAACCCAGAGCTGCAGAGCCATGGGAAGAGCGATAGATAAGTAGTCTTCTTGTCCTCTCTCCTCCTCCGGGCTCTACTAAAATCCAATGTGTTTTCTAGAATTCGAAMAGTTCTCTGATTGATACCTATATGTCCGCGCTTACTCCTACATGGCTGGTAGCTCTAAAACGACCCGCTTATTGCGCGATTGATTTATATCGCAAGCGCTGTTTGACAAGCTCAGATTTAGACACCGAACATACTCTGATATTCCGTAATGGCTTGTAAGGTTGGTCAGCGTTAGAATCGAGCCCATAGTCCTCGCGTGGTTATACCTATGGACAAACAGAAAGAGGAATTCAAAATGAAAAGTCGCACGGTATTTATATAATTATTTTTTCATTAAAAACACGACGTATGTGGCTTTCGTTTTGGGCGTGGTGGATATACATTCATAAAGACTGCATCAGTGCGCGTGCGCTTATGAATGGTATGAATGGAATCATGAGTATGCTCGTTCTTAAACAGAGTCTTATCAAACAGCAACCGACGATTCGACAGCGAAGCGGAGATTTTACAATTTTTTTTGTGTCAATTGTATTGAAAAGAGTCTAGTGTGTATGATCATAAAAATAGCTTTCTCAATTTCGTCTAAACAATGACGTGAGGGTCGTTTACGCTTAATCGAGTGAATTCTGTGAAAAGTGTCAGCATCATGTTGCAACAGTTAGAGGACAGGACTTCGTCTGCACCTTGTGCGTTATAAACACATATATAGATGCTTACGTAATTACTCTGCCAATTCCGCTGTATGTCTTACTAGGCACTGAATTTTCAGTAACGATTACTTTACGCAAGAGCTTCAGTTTAAAAAAACCCTTGCGGAATGGAAAAGAAGTTCCATCTGGGTTCAAAGTAATAGATTCTACAAGTGGAAAAAATCCTTTGTTTTATGGCTCGGATGAAGCTGCTTTGACCCACTTGCAAGCGATTTATAAAACGAATAAAAGCGTAACGTATCATGCAGATGTTTGCAAGACAGTGTCCCTTTACTGTATAGTACGTTTGGATGAGCTTGCGAGCTGCGCGCGCGGTCGTATTTTAAGAAAGTTACAATAGCATTATAAGGCGCAAACGATAAAAATGCTTGCTGCTCTGTCATATCTCATAAAGCTTAGACAAATCCTACTGTAGTTCAAGTAAGGTTTACTAATAAATAACCGTGTTAGCTATGGACAACTGGCTTCTTTAAGAAATATATATAAACAGGCCATTAAAAATCGACGCTTAGGCAGGGCCATTTTTATCGATACGCAAACGCGGCCTTGTAATCTAAAGCTTTTCTGCGCAAGCTAGCAAGGCTAGTGCCACGCCATTGGGTATGCTCACCGCCATTGATGTTACATTGTATATCTTGCAGTGTCGGTGAAGAAGAGATGGTCATCTCTCGAGTAGCGTACGATTGTTGATAGCTTGGTTGAGTCTGAGGATTACTCTGCTGTTGGATTGCCATTCCTATATGAGAACGCTGTAACGGCGACTGTAGTGGATACGACTGAGGCAAGACATCGTGTGACTGCGTGAATGCGTGATGCTGAGGAGACAGAGAGAGCGTTGGTGATGGGCCCTGGGCCATGGTAGGCATCGCGGCTGTCGCTGTTGGTGGCCAGCGGTGATCATTATGGAAAGAACATAAAGAGTCCCCGATGGAGCCTGGGTTGTAGCTCTGAGCCATGTGTGAGGGGAGGATTGGTGCTGGTGGTCGAAGGATTGAAGCGGTCTTCTTGCGTTTCTTCCATTTTGCGCGGCGATTTTGAAACCATACCTGGTGAGAGAAATATTATGTTATTAATATGCTATGATATGTTATTCTTATCAATATCTCAAATAGAGATATCATCATTTATCCATTTTCAATTTATCACTCAATTAATTTACTGTTCAATTGTTTCTTTGTATTTTCATTCATTTATTCTACAATTCATTTATTTGTGCATAATTATTTTCTGTTGATCTTTTTATTAATTCGCTGSTTATCTTTTTATCCTTTTCTCATTCATTTTTCTTTTCCAGATATATAAGCGTGCGTAATTAATAACGAAACATTTAATCAACCAAACAAGGGCTATTTTTTCGAGCTATTGTTTCAATCAAAAATTCGCTAATATCCATCTTAATACATGAAAACGTTTCATATCTAAAATCCTCTTGTTCAAACAAAATACCAATAGTAAGTTTTAATTTCTTTAATTGCTAGACAACCTCCCATCAATTATTTCTATATTGGCGCCAATTATATATTACTAAAGAAACTCATTTCCTTAAGGTTGAGTCCTAGAATTAGTACTCGCAACGCACGATGACAAGTGAAGTACTAATGTGTAACAGAACGGGTGTTTGAATAAAAAAGGAGTTGTGCGTCAATGCACATGACATGTTCTATATCAATTCTGTTGTCGATTGCTTGAGTGCTTTGACAAATTAGGTGCCAAGAAGATTCGAAGCCCTAAGGGTGTTTCATACATTGTTTTTTCTACGATATCATCACAAACATTAAATGATTGATTTGATATTTTGCTTCTTTTTTGATAATGCATGCTTTAAGCGTTGATTGTTCAATAAATATCTTAAATACTGATGTCGATTAATCAAGTTCAGAGTTTTTTAGTCATTATCTTAAAATGCATTGATAATATTAATAGATTGAGTTTTATATCATTATGTAGTCATGTTTTATAGTCAATTTTTAAATATAATTCTACATTTTGCTGTTGCGAATGTTTTTTTTTTTGGTAACTAGAAATGCAAAGACATCATGTCTTTAATCCATTATTTCTGATACACATTTCCGTGTTTCTGCTATTCGTGTTTTGTGCTTCAGGGAAAAAAAGGAGATACACTTTGAGAATTTATGGAGTAATGTCTATATTAATTATTTTTTTCAATTTTTTCAATTAATTATTAAGTTACACTCTATCTAATTAAATAAACTACTTTGAAAAAATGTTATTTCTCATCTCTTTGTCTCTTTTTAAATAATATGAATCTTTTTTATGTGCGTTTCATTTCAATATTTCAGAGTTTTGTTTAGGGTACTCCTCCACAGTTCAACGTGCTATCAGATTTATGATATGACATCAATGTCGCAATCTTAAACTTCCTTTTTAACCCTTAAGTGGAGAATAAAAAAAGGTAATAGCTGCGATAACCTTATATATCTTAATGCCGTGTCAAACCTTAAAATGTTTATAGTAGGTAATGTGGTTCTTGGACACTTTTAGCAAACTTAATGCATTTACTCAAATGAGAGTTTAAACTGGATTATAACAGAACACAATGATTATAAAGTTTATCTGGGATACTCTTTGAATACGTCGAAAAATACGAGCAAATTCAAAGCGATCACTAAGTTCTATTAGCTGTTGATTGAAATTAAGATGATTATGAAGTTTAGGCATGTTGAAATAAGTCGATGTAATTTAATCCTGAGACTTGTACATTCAAACGACTTTTAAGCCACTGGAACTGAATATTCAACGATTACAACGAAATGTTCCGTGTCTTAAAAACAAACAATGAAAATACCGACCACATTGGATTAACATACATAAAAAAACTAGATATAATCCTTATTCTCTACTAGTAAAGCCCTGATAACCGTGAACAACAAAGTTTAGAGGCTCATTTTATGTACCTACTAAATATTTTGGGAAATGATAAAAATTTGTTATATATCATGCAACGGCAACTTTAATGCGCGGTAGACAATAATCTCTAGTCAAAGCGCGGCTATTTGTAAAGGTCTTAACTTTGACAATATTTTAACAATTAAACCGATGAGGGATTGAAAAGCGTATGACGCAACCGTAAACAACTGAGGCGATACTCTGTAAATGAGATAGAGCAATCGTTTAAGCGGGAAAATTCAGTTTAAATACTTTATTTGCTAAAATAGATATATATTATTGCTTAGTATCCTTGTATTTATAGAAAGTGGCGCGCAAAACTCACATGCAGTTTTCTGGAAGAAAGTCGAAGTGCCGAAACGCTCATTAAAGCAAAGATACAAAGCTACAAGTTGGTGTTTTGTCCTATATTATTCTACTTATATATGCTTATATCAGTATAAAAATTTGATTATTTTGATTAAGACATGAACACAAATTTGTTTGTATTATGTAGGACAAAGTGGTTAAAACTATATTATATTTCTGTGTTCATTTTGCTCATTTTACTAGCTTTTATTTATTAGCGACAATATAAAAGTTCAAAACTCCGTCTTTTCAAATATCAAATTAGTGAATTGATATAATCGAATATAACGAGTGCTAAAGAGATATAGATACTATATACAAAGTGTATCATTTCACAAGTATTATTCGGAGTAAAAGGGAGTTTCAGTCGAATTTAGGACTCTGAATCACCGGAAAGCGAATGGAAAGTGTGAAGTATATCAAGTCGTAAGAACTATTAGATTTTAAAAGGGGAAATCCAGTCAAATTTAGAACTCCAAAACAAAGCAAATAAAAAGTTACAAAGACTTGTGCAAATACTGAGCCGCGATGATAATTCGATAAGCAATTTTATCTCGAACTCGTATCCGTCTTAAAAGGAAAGATTTTGTCAATTAATTGGCAAGTCGAGCACTTATAGAATCATGTCCTGTCCTCTCAAAACCCCGTACGAGCCGAAAAAAAAAACATAACTTGACAATTATACGCACTTTGTATACACAGAGACCAAAGATTTGTCTCCATTGGGCTTATTTTGGTTTCATATGAATAACACAAAACATACTGAATAATTGGAAACCACGATAATCGAGCTTTTAAATAAAGACTTTTATCGCGTTCACTAAATCATTTATAAGTCTCAGTATATTATATCTACAAAATAAAATCTCAAAAACAATAGACCCACAGATGCCTTTGACTTTTCAGGCACGGAAATTTTCAGCACGCATTATTTTTATGAAGAGGTATAGTCCAGCTTTCTCTCATGTTGGATAATTACAATTTTCGATTGAGTTAGCCGTTCACAATGATGATAATCCTTATATTGTTTAGCCAGAAGGTGAAAAAATCGTTAAGAATCTCGCATATGTTATGTATACGTCTTGTTACTTCTAATCAAAAAATAACTGATTGCTTATTTAGCTCTAGTAATTACAGCTCTAAAATATACTTCGTGTATTCAATGATGGTGTAATAGTTATTTGTGTGAAACAGTAACCGTCCAATACTTTCTTTTTTACCGTTTTGAAGAGTGCTGATGACTAGATCGAGCTTCTTGTGATGATTTGAATGATAAATTATAAGAGATAAAGTAGTAACCACTTAACCAAAATTGAACTTGAAGTTCAGTTTCTACTTGATGAGAAAACACAAAAGCTATTGAGAAGTTTGCTTAGAAAACTTATGAAATAATGTTTTAAAAACAAACGATATCCACGCCGATTGTCTGTAAAAGGCGTAACGTTTCTAGTGTAATTTCGATTTTTTCAATCCGTTTAATTTTTCCATTTTAATACCGTATTCCTTTGCTAACAAGCAGCAAAAGCCAAGCGCCCAGGATGTGGCTGAATTAGTCTCCTCGAAGACAAAAACAAACGTAAATATTTTCTTTCGTTCTTTGAAAAAGTAGCATTTGATTGTATTATCTTCATTAAGGCATCCTAGAATAGACCTAAATATCCCCGAACAAAACTTTTCAAGGTTTAAACACAAAAATTAATTTGCCAAAGTAAACATAACCAAAGAGAAGCCATAGTACTCGTCGCAATACCCGATATTAAAGGCTTTTTAATTTTACTCAGTTCCTTTGCCATAGAATAAAAACAAGGCAGTTTGGGTTAATATTTTCTTATGTGTAGGAAACAGGCAGTTGACAAACTATAGTCACGAAGCTGTTCAAACATTGAACTAGAGTTTTTAATTAATCTTCTCGACAAGAGTGTCGGAAGAACGATGATTACGTTTTAAAAGGATTATTTCAGCCATAGTGATTTTTTTCTCTCAGAAATCGCATATGAAAGTACTCAATGACCCTATGAGTGGCCCTAACGCCGTAACGAGTTTGAAGTGTGACCTATTAAATCCTTTGTATACAATGATTGGGAAGAGGATTCAGAGAACAGTGTGGTGTGTGAACAATTTCTTAAACTCTCCCAACAAACCATTGATATTTTTTTTCTTTAAATTAGATAGCAAAATATCACATTCAATTCTACATCTAGGGATTTAATTTGCAAATACAAGGGCACTCAAGAAGGTATACTATACCTACTACATGCAGGGAGAACATATAAAGATCAATTTCCTATAAGCCAAAATTGTCTCTTTTTTAAATTATTTCGATAATGTACACCCTGTAAATGCGTTAATCAGGATTTCTTGTTTTGACGCCCATTTTTCGGGCACCTCCAGAGACGCAAATCAGACGAAATCAGGGCATTTAATTAGCTCATAAATAACGAAGAAAAGATGCAATTACAGTAGCTCAAAGATCCGGAAAAATCCTTTTCTGTAGTGCGTCGTATATACCAGCTGCCCCAGAAGCAATGATTAACAGGAAGACTGATACCTTAACTCATTCTCTGTTGGTCGTCCCTGATATCTCAGGGTTTCTACATAATATCTGCGAGTTGTTTTTTGCTTCTAAATCGATCCGGATACTCAGATTCTTGTATTTAAAAGAAAGGAAATTGACTCAATTTCCTTTCAGTATCTTGCTGTTTAAAAATACTCCCTGTAACCCCTTTTGCGCGCAAATGAATAATACTACGCGATAGGGTGCTGTATCACTGGTACCCGTATCGTTGTATCCCTTTAAACCGGGCTATAGAGATAATATGAGCACACGAGATAGTTTAGAGAATTGACGCCCATAATTTGAATAGATGTCCAGATGGTGGTAGACTTTATGTGAAAATCAGTGAGGTACTAAAGGCCAAAATCTAAGGCGAGCGAGATTATGAAGAGGGATAACACAGGGGCATGCCTTTTGACAATCTCGTTTCCTGCTGTGATCCGGTCCTCAAAGGTGTGGAACTTTAAAATGACAAAGTAAAAGACGAGAAAATATCTATTGCTCAAAAGTGTGGCCATTATTTCAATGAAAAATAGAATTGTTATTCTAATGCATGCACTGTAACAAAAATTACCTGATGTGCGGATTCTGACTCAAGTGTTTGCTTTAAGGATTTCTGTTGTAGCAGATTTAGTAATTTCAATTTGACAGAACGCGTATAGTGAAACCCGATGAAAGGTCTAATGGATCATTACATTTATCTGCAAACCATTTGATCAGCACTCAAAGTTAACACTCCATGTCCAAATCGTTTACTCTTGTCCTTATAAAACATCAAGCATTTTCTATACAGTTTTATTCCGAAAATGCGCACTTACATTCGTTTCTTCCAACCCCTTTAAAAAAATTCCTAACGTTCGCTTTAATCGACTATGAACTTAAATTGTCATTGTATAGTTGAATAGACATACATCATAACCTCTATTCAGTTTCGGGATGATAAGATAAGGAGCGTAAAATTTCCTTAAAATATTTCTAAGTCATCCAGTTAATGTAGATAAACTTGATACAAGTTGATAGTCTAGAGTTCCCTTGGAAAGCGTAGATTTTTTTAAATGACGCACTTGGTTTTACCCCCCGAAACTTTAGAACGATGAAAAAGGCTTTTTAAGAAATGGTATTAAAAAAATACCCTGACATTCAAAATGAGTTGTTTTCTCCATGTTTACTAAAAGGCTGATGGCTTCTTATCAAAACATTTGGAAGTCTTAGCTAGTAGTTCTAAGTGGGCAAGATATTAGGCTTCAAAATAACAGCATTCGTGTCATAATCGGCTATACTATTTGTCTCGCTACAGCTTTAATGCACTGTCCAAGAAACAGGAATCAAATATGAAAAACAACAACCCCAGGGTAAAAACAACAAAAGCTAGAATCCCAGCTCTTCTATAGAAGTCAAATAAAACACGGTGATCGATTGGTATATGTGACGCATAGGTTTTGAATAGAGTAATGAAACGTTTAGTCCATTGAGGGCTATCCTCTGCAAACAAACACGAATCAATTTTTCAAGATCTCTTTCAATCGCTGCTAATATGTCAAAGTTTAAATGAAAGAATTACAAAATGATACGGTCAAATTTCCCCGAAATTTAAATCTAATTTGCGATGAATAAAAACCACTTTTTTTCTTTATTGTTTTGAAATTGCTTTCGGCGTTCGTATGTTTGCTACTGAAGTGGAAATATCCCCTCATACACCATTAGTCCTTTGTCGCTATTCAAGAGCTGAATAGCTCCAAATTGTTTTGTTTGGGTACTGTTTCTGTCAAGAACTACGACCACGACTTTCAGATTTACAAAGGCTCTCAAGTCACTTGAAAACTCTTTTATTTATTTAACATTTTAAAAGAGATAGGTACATAAGAATTTGCTTGAAAGGCGAATGAGTACATCAAAGGATAATATGTACACTATTTGGTGTATATCAACAACAATAGCCAATTGATTTGATTCTTTTCTGATGATATAACTCTCGCAAAATCCTTAAACTTCGCACCTTTCTTTTTTAAGACGTCGCTTTTTTCACTTTCTTTTTTCACATTTGCAATAGTTCCAGAAAGACTAGTGAAGCCACAGGGGCCTCGGCCTTCATTCTTATTCTTAACGTCTAAATATAACTACTTTGTGCCAAGCTCTAGCAAATTGCATTGTCCAGGCTAATCACATCTATTGCTTGAACAATGAAAGTATCTTCAGACCCATCGCCTTTTCGATTCGGATAAATTATCGTAATTACCGCTAAGAGATCTGTCTCTTTAAGGGTTCGTGGTAATGGCAATTTGAGCTTCGCACGAGACCAAGTTAGTAGCAACAGAGTTAAGTTGAAGGAACTCGCTACGGGGTGTAAAAAAATTGCCGATCGTCAAGAAATTGGGGATTTTGAGTTATCCGAAATATTCGCATTGTGTAAACAGTCGGGGCGCCGGTAGCTTTTAGACTGGAGCGGTTTCCCTGTCATCTTGCGTTTTGAAGCCACAGAGGTTTATGAAAAACCTGAGAGAGCGAACGACATTATGAAAAATGTAATTATACAAAACCCTCAGGAGTCCGATTGACAATGTCTAATTACGTGCCAAACACCGGTACACGCTTTTGTTTTTGGACTCTGCAAACGCAATCCAGTTTTTCTGAACGATAACGCGACGGGCATGTTTTGATAGCTCTGATTGAGAAATTGTCATCCCTAAGAAAACAATATAGTAAGAAAACAAATGAAGTAAAGTTTTCAGCGGCTTTCTCTCCCCATGACGGGCGAATGAACTGAACAATCTTTTCTTTTCATTGAAGAGCAAGAATCTTTTTGTAGTCGACATGCGACATGTAACACAAAACATGTAAACATTTTTTGGCGTTTACGTGAAGTCTCTTGAGTGAAAACAATGATCAATAATAACAACCAATCAAAAGATATATGTATGAACTCCGAAACGTCTGGAATTTTAGTTTTCTTCCGTATTTTTTCTTTTCGTTTGGGATTTTTCAATCGGTCGACGTCGAGTTGGAAGTGTTATTATAAATTCGACTGTGGTCATTATGAAGTCCGCGTAGAGGAACTGCAGCTCCAGCTGGAAATCAGGAAACTCAAAGTCTACTGAGGCAGGTGCGGGTAGCCTAAATCGAGTTGAATTTGACGGCTACATCTCGGAGCCCTTGTGATATCATAGTTTTGACAGAAATGACTCTAATAGAGACCTGAAATGGTAGCCAATTTCACTAACAATTAGCGAGGAACAGTGCCGTGGCTGAGCATAATTTTTTTACTACGGGATCACAATCCTAATTATTCTTGTTACCAGTAAACAATTTACCAGAGATTGTAGTCACTCAATTTAATCTAAAATAGCTACTTAAGGACAGTGGTTATCAGGGCTTCTTTGGTCTTCGAGCACTTTGTGATAAAACCCTTTTGGTCAAGCGCTTAGGTCAAGAACGGTACCTATTGACGAACACCTTCATTAGCATTTCCAATTGGCCGCATTTCGGCGATTTCATTCAATATGTTTTTAATAAGCCGGGCCATTGTGTACATACAAAAAAATATGAGACAACGGTTTATGGAGATCGTGACACGGCTCGACACGGTAGCCTCATAAAGTAACTTCTTTAATCGTAAAGAATGATATTCATTGTTCCTTAGTGTACGGAAAAAGCTAATTCATGAATGATTGAAGAACTTTAAAAATGAAAACGATGTCGTTTGGCGTCCTTTCTTTAGACTGCCGGCAAAATCGCAATTCAAAACAAAGAGCAAATTAAATCGACAAAGCTAACCCTTGTTGTGTATTGCATATAAAATAATAAATTGTCCAACCCTACTTACTTTAAGGCTACTTAAGTGGTTCGCCTTGAAAGGTAGCTTTCTCTAATGTTCAAATAAAGACAATTTAACAGCAAAGCACATGTACAAATTTCTCTTCTGTGGTGTGAAGCGATTAGAGAGTAAAGCATACAAATACTCTATTATAACCGGAAAAGCAATGACGGTATTCGCGATTTTATCATTTGTAATAAAAAATCAGATACTACACTACAATCCTCGGAAGCGATCGTCCAAGACCAACTGGAAATACGACTAGAGACTTTTGGACGGCTTTTCCCTGACTGACTTAGAATCGCTGCTCAGCGTCGAACCGTTACACCAACCTAATTAAAGCATCTTGATACTACGAGGTCATTTTTTTCTCATTTGAGATCTCAGAGTCTGGTTAAATAAAATTGTGGCATTCTCCATACCTGTACTCTTGACTCGGTGAGGCCAATACGAGCTGCAAGCTCCTCTCTCATGAAGACGTCTGGATAGTGAGTCCGGGCAAAACATCTCTCGAGTTCATTTAATTGAGCTGGAGTAAACCTCGTACGATGTCGTTTCTGCTTTACGGCTTGGCTGTCAGTGGACTTACGATCATCGTCTAAATCAGGTGTATCCACTAAACTAGACTTCTTGATCTCTGTTGGGGACTTCTTTCCATCAACACTGACAGTCTTAGAATTATCTTAAGAGAAAAAGGAATAATCTCAATTAGAACTCATACTCACCTAAATCATTAGAAAATTTATTTTATAACTTGAAGTTAATGTGACTGATCAGGGTAAAAATGTCTTCAATTTGCGAGTTGTTACTTTAACAAGATGTTTAATACCATGGTCGTGATCAGTAAGCTCTCCGTTGTGGTTGAGGATCCCAACGATCGAATGTTCCAAACTAGGAACGAGCTCTAAAAGGGAATTCGAGGAATTATCTTCATGGGATTCTAAGGTAGTAGCTCTCCCAGAACCGTGTGTACTGTTCGAGAGCTCCATAACTAATCTTCTGAGCCAGCCACTATTTCGGTCTTCTTTGTAGAAGTGCTTATTACTCCGGATTTAATATCTATAGGGTGTCCTAGCCAATCATCGTTCGCCTTGGTGCTATTTTCTAATAAAATTATGTCAGGTGTCAATGCCGGATCAAAAAGCATGTAAGCAAATCACTCCGTATTAATATTTAATTGGTCTAATTGAACATGAGAGCATTGCAGATCATGTGCTCGTGATCTTATTTTTTAGGCCCCTGTGATGAGGTCGTATGAAGCCAGAATGCAGTAAGCGAATTCAGCTGTGTGCTATCTCCCGGTCAGTGCTTATATCGCGCGACCAACAGTTTCACTCGTATCAGGTGGATCCATGTTGTAGTAACTGTAATTCTTGTTAATTAATAAACATTTGTTTGTGATGAAGTATTTTGGCTTCCAAATAATTGGTCAAATAGGCCATGATTAGACCAAACTGCATCTTCATTAGTATGATTAATAAAATATTAATCGCCTATTAAATCGATAGCGCTTTTCGACACCACTACGAGGCTTGGCCGGCTACAAGTGTACGGTTCGAAATCGACACACTGGCGTCTCATTGATAACAATTTATTTTATTGTATAAATACTACTCTCTGTAAACATGAAATTAAGACTCTCTCGATTGCTGGGGAACGGAAAAACTTCCCACTTAAAGAGCTGCTCTTTGCTGTAAAAGGAGGCACGCGAGGCCCTTTGTGTTTCCCTTACAATATCATGAGTGGCCAAAATAACGGGCTCTCGAGCGTGTGTGTCCAATGAACTAAAACACAGGGCGAATACGACCAGCTCTTAGAGATTCTTTTCATTGTCTTCACTTGCCTAATTGCCCAGAAAAGCTTAATCTTTACTCTATTGTCCTTACTGAAAACTAACATTTTCATATGGTTTTGAAATAATTGCCGTGACAATCCTATAGTGAGCTGGGCTTGTATTTTTTTCTTCTCTTTGAATTTAGATTTTGATTGATTTTCTTTCAACGCTTGTCTCGCAACTGAATGGAGACATTCAACAAGAGATGAACACTAGACAAAAGATATAATCTGGCTTCTTAACAGAAACTTAGGGATCCCTTACCACAAAATTATGTTTTTTTTTCAACTTCGTACGAGACTCTAGAAATTGTGGTTTTCGATTGTTTCATGTCAACAAAACGAAGCAATCCATCAACAGTTTCCTTTCTGCTCAATCATAAGGAGAAATTTCCTGAAGTATAAATTTGAAACCGCAATAGCTCCTTTCGAATAGCCTGAAGTAAAACATACAAGTGCTGCCTTTAAAATGATTCAACTCGCCAGTCGCTAAACGAATCTGAAAATATTCTTCAGCAAACTTTTTTTTAAGACAGTAATTTGAGTATAATATATGTTGTATTTGCTATGAATTTAGAAAGAGATTTTCGGTACTCTTGAGGCATCTGCGGTCAACCACCGATCATGATTACTTTCAAATTAATGAAAAAGTCCAAATTGTACTGTTAAAAGTTGGCTGGTATTTCTATTTTGTACATGAACCCCGAGTCAATAAACACCGGGGAATGTTTATTTTGTCTTTTTGACCTGTTTTGTTGTGTCCATTCGAAAGCACAACGAGGCGACTGATTGTTTCCTTGAAAGAGAAAAAAAAATCTGATTTTCAATTCTTAATTTCTTAAATGAATCTTTGGAAAAACTAATTTACTCTTTTTTATTCCCTGCGATAGTTTACCTCGATAAATACCAACACTGTTTTAGTACAGTACAAAGTGGAATCCAAAATTGAACATTGGCTTTTTCAATTTTGCAAAGAAAACTAACTTTTTAGAGATGACTTGTTTGTTATTCTCTGACTATACAATGCACCATAATAGCTCCCAGAGAACTCTAACCGCTAGCCTCTCTTAATTGCCTGTTTCTGAGAGGCAATTTTCAAAATATACACCACAAACTTTTAAGGGGTTTGGAGTAGGAAAACCCGGAATTAATATATTACAAGTACATATGTGTACGGGTCTTCACAATGTATGTCAGTGTTTCGAGCGCTTAGACTAAACTAGTGCAATATATGGCTACAATCAAGGTTTTTCCTTTCTCGAGCGGTTTCTTAATTAGACTTGAGTTTTAATTACGAGTAAGACCGTCGTTTTTTAAGTGTACGTATGCCTGAAGGTGATATGGCCCCTCTTATTGACTCGTAAGGAATCTCATTAACCCCGCGTACGTGTAGCTGTTCGGCCAATTAATAATTGATTATTCCTAAATTTATAAATGACGATTATCTTGTTTTTCAATGACGATAATAATACCGCGTGCTGCGGGTAACTTTAATGAAACAGATCAAGGACCCTGTATATAGATCATGCTGTTCCACTGAAAACCCTAGAAGTGAAACTATCACAGTAATTACTGGCTTTACATCATTAGCCCGAGCATAACGAGTTTCAAATATACCGTGCAGGTTGAGTTAGAATTTTTCAAAAATCTATGGTGCCGGGACCAATTGAGTTAATTGAGATAAAATGCCATTGTGCAAAGCTTAAAGAATCAAAGCGGTCTTTATTTACAAGTCGTTCATCGAGTATATGCTATATTTTTTCACTTATATTCAGCAAATGGACTTAGGACTTCCGACTCTATTGTGTTGTATGTGAGTCATTCGACTCCTTTGCAAATAAATCCGAAGAGATTTTATTGACTCAAAGAGTAGCAAAAACAATGAGATATCTGAACATTTTTATGGTTGTTTTCTCAAAGTAAACGGTGGTGACGTTTTAGAGAACTCGTCCTCAAGTCTATAGATCAGCCTATCTATAAGGCCACTCTACACATACACTGGCGCCAGAGAGGCCCCTTACTGTCATCTTTTCAAAACGTGCTATCCTTTGTGTCTTTATAGACCCATATTCTAAGTGTTTAGCACCAAAATGATTTCCATCTATACATAATTAACTGCTTAAAAGGAAAAAAATGGCGTTTGGTGTGGTCCTTAAGTTAAGGGGCGCGTGCCTTGGCGGCATTTATGAGTGTTAAATATCTGGGATGTTTCGATCGTGATGCGTGATTTCTAATCCACCCTTAGTTTCGGCCAAAGAGGGATAAACAAGTCTAGCTAGATCAAATAAACTCTATACACTTAAAATATAATTAGCCCAGAGCGGGTTTATGAGTCTTATTTGAATTTCTGTTGCAAATGGTCTTAATGCGCTAAGACCGACAGCTAGATAAGATATACGTATACTGGCGACTCCTTAAAAATGATAAACCATACTGATAAGTGCAAGCTGAATGACAAAATCAAGAGGCAATTTCGAGAGTTTTCTCTGTAGGAATGTGGGCTTTCCCAGCACGATTTACCCCAAGAAATTCCATGGAATTGAACAAGAATAAGAACGTGGTTAATCAATATATCTTATTATCAATACCATTTTATTTTACCAAATATACAGCCGCAAATTACGACTAAATCTTTTGTGAAATCAATTCCAATAACTAACAGCTCTATATTTCCAAATGTGCTAACTTTACGGGAAAGTGGAGAACAAGATAAAATTCACTTATGGTTTGAAAATAACATTTTTAGTGGTCTGAGGAAAATTTGGTAATTGGAGTTTTCCCCCTACATTAACCCAAGACCTTCCAATTATAAACGTGTGTACTCTTCAAGAATTGTCGAATTATTATTATTATTATTATTTTTCCTTTGTATATCTCGCAAATGTTATAGTTCTGGCCTGTTTCACTGAAAGGCGTTCGTTTCTTTCTGGCAATAAACGCTTATTGAGACTAAGTGACTTTAATTTGATTCATAGAATTTTCAGAGCTACATTCTTTCTCTTTATAACTCTTTAAAAAATGTTTACCATAGAAAACATTGGCTTTCACCACAAGGGTTTAAAAAATACTGATACGACTTAAGGGTTTTCATTTCCTTCAGGCACTTTGGGGGTTCATTTTTTTGATTTGCAAGAGAACGCATGGGAAGAAGCCGAAGAGGTGTTGTATAGTATACCGATCTGAAGCCTTTCTGCATGATACCTATTATAGCAATTCTTAAAACAAACTCCTATTAGACGGATAAAATGGACTAAACTACCTGTAAATGAACTTAAATGATCACCGCGGTCACTCGCAGACATCCGATGTATCCTTGTTCTCACTCTAATTTTCCCATAACATCTATGAGTGTATTTTACCTCAAATTGTGTTAGCCCTCAGTTGTCATGTCAAATATTAATATATCAGTATAAATATAGTTTGGGTGCACTGTCGCTCTTGATTCTCGTCCCCAAAACAACGCTGAAATCGCTTTAAACTTGCGGCGTTTTAGACCTTCATGACAGCCTAGGAATTTAACTTTGGAATTGCGTTCGAAACAACACGACATGCCGACAAGATGGAGCTATCTTTTCAAACTTTTTGTCTGAGGACACATGCTGGAATGGACGTATAATTGTAAAGCGTTTTAATGCGGGTCAAAATGCTTGAGCGCACGAGAAATTTGCTACATTGCTACGCGTTATCGTGTTCATACCAGGAAAGCTATCACCTGCCGACGACGGTTTTATGGGCGACAGGAACTAAGATCCACACATTGCTAACCTTGACAAGGATATACATCAAAGCTGCTGTATTTATTTCTAGAAGTCACGCTAGGCGAAGAGTCATAACAGTTCCTTTATTTCCTCGCAGACTCTAGAAAACGTGAAGTGGTTTTATGCCACCGTTCGGAAGCTCTTAACAATAGGAATCGAGAAAGCTTAAGATGATACGCCCCGTTAGTGGCTCGTCTATGATTACAGAAGAACGAAACAAGTTTCCCCAACAAAGGCAGCTCAATTGCTTTTCACCTATATCTCGGTTAACATTGAAAATCACAAGCCGGACTGTCTGGGTCGCCTCATTTGTGAGTGCACCGTAATGAAGCTCAACATGAGTGGGATTAGAGTTTGTTTTTCCTTCGTTGCTTTAGTAATAACAAGCTAAGTATTCCAGCGAGATGTTAAGGATCTAAAATTACTTAAAATTAAGGTTTTT